AGATTGCGTGCGTGACTGTGAGGGCGGCGGAGCTATAGAAGGGAAACTCGATAGCGAATTCGTTGTGTTTGTGTTGTTGCCCCAAGTGTTTGCGGATGACATTGTGGTGCTGCCGCTTGCTTTGCTCCAGTCGATGCCTCCGGTCTGTGTGGGGTTTGTGTAGGAGGGTGTTGTGGTTGTGGGGGATACCATATTGTTCATGCTCATGGCTGGTCGGATTGCCTGTTGTTGTGTGAATGATGAGCTACCTATGCCTGGGTTTGCCGCGCTGAGAGCAGGGAACGAGGAGTTGAGCGTGTTTAGTGTGTTGTCTGGAGTGATGGCCCTGCCTTGTGGTTTCGGGGCGCCGAGATTGGTGTTTGGTGGTGGGGAGACGGGCGGCGTGGACCACGAGAAGGTTGGGGCGGGAGATGCGTTGTTGGATCTTGTTCGGTTGGTGGATGGGCGCGAGGGGAGGATAGTGGAGGAGGCAGCTGATGCGGAAGCGTTCGCCCATGGGTCTCCACCTAGCATGTCTGTACCACCCGATGGCCCTTGTTGTCCTCCACGTACAAGCGCTTCGAAATCCGTATCTCCGTTCCCGTTGCTAGTATCGAAGCCGTTGGTCGCTGATGGGCCGCCAAAGGACATGAACTCGTTGCGCGTAGTTGCTGTGGACCCGTTTGCGCCGAGCTCTTGCAGCTTGCGCGTCTGTTCGTTTTCGACACGAGCGGACGTCGTCTTGATGAGGTTCATATACGCTTGGAACTGCTGCAGATTGAGCAGCGGTCCTAAACTGAATGACCACAAGATGGGGAGTACATCCATAGCGAGGAAGTCACTGTCAACCTGGTGGCTGATAGCCTTGAAGACGTCGAGTGCTGCCATCTGTCAATGTGTTAGCATGTTGTTTATGGCTTGTTCGTTTGTATTGACATACCATAACGGCAGGCTCCTTGGTCTTGATGGCACGCAGTAGCGGAACAATCTTCTCTTGAATAGTGTACTTGTCGAGAATTGAGACATTCGAGCTCTTCGCCTTGGGTGCTGCTACCACTCCAGTAAGGCCATCACTTTGAAAGTCGTCCTGCTGATCGTTTCCTCCACCACAGAGTGTCTTGAAAGCCTCTAGCCCGCGAATCTTGATACCCATACTGCTGGTCTTTGCAAAGATGCTGGCAATCACAGGGAACAGCTCGTTCTTGACAGTTGAAAAGTCTAGTATCGGCAAAACGATAGGCAGCGTGCGCAGAGCTGCATCGACTAGCGAATGTGTAGGCGATTCGAGCGCATGGTTAATGATTGGAAGGATATCATTTTTGAACTCTTTGCCGCTCGAGTTGTCAGCAGCGATCTGCATGTTCTCAAGAAGCACCATGAGGCCAGCTTCTTTCAGGCTGTCCCTCTCCTGAGCTGGGGCTTTCGGGTTCGCAGCCGGCGCACTCAAGAATGTCTCTCGCAGTTTAGGTATCACCTTTTCGGTAAACGCTCGCTTGCCGGATGGAAGCATAGTAATGATCTTGAAGACGTTTTGAAGTATCAGAGTGAGAAGCTCCCGGTCCTTCATCTCTTCGAGTAGAGCAGGCAGTATCTTCTTGTCAAGTACCGACTTGGGAAACTGGTTCAAGATACGCGGCAGACCACGCATGAACTGTGACTTCTCATTGGGTGTCTTCCCAGGAAGTCCGTCAAGGAAGCGTATTGTGGATACTAGGATGTTGTCGAAGTACTGTGCTTGTTGAAACTCTCGTGCATCCATGCGCGACGCCGGCCGCCGTGTTATCAAGCGATCTAGAACGCCGTTGACGACATCTCGCGGTAACGGTTGCGAAGACATGAAGTTGTTCGTCTTACTCGGAACCGAGGAAGACGAAGAAAACGCCCGCTTGTAGGAGGAGGAACTACCATTGAAGTCCAACGGGCTCTTGTGCGGCGAGTTGTATAGTGCAATGATGAGCATGCCCAGACTAAACATGTCTGCCGCAGGAGTTATGTTGTTGTCCATGACGAAGTCGGGCGAAGAGTAGTCTATGTTCAGCTGAACGTGTCGAGGCAGGCGGGCATCGTAGTTGAGGACTTCTGAGAGCGATATGGGTGTTACGGAGGTGGGCTTCGTCGAGTTCTCTGGAGGTGTTGAGAAACCAAGACCTGAGATTTTCCAATCAGACTGTCACGGTGATCAGCAAAGTGTTGGTAAAGATTGAGTAGCATTGTGGCTACCTACTTTAGCGTTGATGAAGATGGCGTCTGGGGTCAAATTCGCATGCACCAGTCCAGCACTCTCGTGCAGAAACTCCAAGCCCTTTGCGATTTGTAACAGCCCTTTCTGTATCTCGAGTTCGTCGATTTCGAGCTCGCGTCTTCGCTTCTGGCCATCGGCTTCTTCGATAACGTATCGGCTGCGGCGTCCACCAACACCGCCTGCCTTCTCCTGCTCGTCTTTTTCTTGCAACAAGCCAGCGAGCGATGCGGTGACGGGTTCTGTCGCGAACATGAGGCCGCCGCCACGAGTCTCCTCGACTGGTTCAGCCAGCTCCAGTACACTTGGATGCCGTAACCGAGCTAGAGAACTGGCCTCTTTCTTGAGCCTCTCCACGACCTCCTCATGCGCGCGTTTGAGTCCCGAAGCCGCTGAGCGTCCACCGAAGCCTGCGCCAGCTGGTGGTTCCAACGACTTCTTCTCGAACACAAAGACAGATGCCGCCTTCCCCGTCGACTTCTTCTTCGCGTCGTATATCTTCCATGGCCCTGAATACGACGTGGGCTGGGGGCTGAGGGTGTAGTTGCTCGAGATGTTGGAAGTGAAGGACTTTAGGGCGTTGGAAAACATGGTGCGGGTGGTCTATTCGCGCGCGCGGCGATACTGTGGGAGTCGAGCGAGGGCGTCATGGACTGTGATGTTTGGCGTGGGCAGTGTTGGTATGCGCGTGAGATCTGAGACAGCCAGCTGGAACTGCCGAGAGGATCAAGACATTCGGGTCGCTCTTTCCGCGAAATGTCTTGGGAGAATCACCAGGGAGTCGCGCAATGTCTAGACTCGTCGGTACGATGGCGGAGCCCCGAAAGTCAATTGATAGACGAAGCCAAATGTTAGTTCCCCCACGCGAGCTGTGGAGAAGGATCCATGGATGCCAGGGCCGCCTCTAGTCTCCCGCCTTGCATGACGTGAGCGCACGCAGCACACATGGGCAGTGGGAATGCAGCAACGGCCAAGATACCAAGCACGCGAATAACCTCAGATATCCGCGCTGACGATGATTCAGATGTCGTTCGCGCCCTACGATTGCCTGTTCGGTGGCTGGTGCAGTGCGCGATCGGAGGTGACTGTCGCGACTGTGTCGCGAGGTCCGATATCTCCAGGCTGCGGTCAGCTTCGGTCTTGTAGCCCAAAATAATTATTACTCTGGAATCCACCACCTGCACCAACTCTCCTCCCGCCCCACCCTCTCCGCTTGCACTGCATCCCTCACAATGCTTCCGCAGCGGTCTTCACGATTGCTCTCTTGCCTGTCCCGTGGCGCCTTCCGTTCGCCTGTAGCACCGCTCAGCGCGTCGCTGCGATGTCGGACCCAGCGACCCTACAGCATTCATGCTGACAAGTCTGTTGGCGAGAAGATACAGGATATCGACCCGACCAAGCTCTCCATAACCAAGACGACGACGCCAAAAGATCTGCTGCCGCATGAAGAACTCGTCTTTGGCCGCAACTTCTCTGGTAACAGCTCCAATGGCACCAAACTTCACATCTAACACGTATTCAAGATCACATGCTCTCGCTCGAATGGACAGCAACAGAAGGATGGCTGCCAGCACGCATTACCCCCTACCAGAACCTCAGTCTCGACCCCGCGACGTGCGTCTTCCACTATGCGTTCGAGTGCTTCGAGGGCATGAAGGCCTACAAGGACAAGAACGGAAATATCAGGCTGTTCAGGCCAGACAAGAACATGGCCAGGCTGAACAAGTCGTCGGCGCGAATTGCATTGCCCACATTTGACCCCGATGCCTTGATCGAGCTCATTGGCAAGTTTGTGAAGGAGGATGAGCGTTTCGTTCCCGAGTACGTTCAGTCTGAATCCTCTGTTGGCTACAACACTCTGACCACACCAGTGCGCGAGGCTACTCTCTCTACCTTCGCCCAACGATGATCGGCACTCAGCGCACCCTCGGCGTCGGCCCTCCCGCGTCTGCACTACTCTACGTGATCGCTTCCCCCGTCGGGCCATACTACCCAACCGGGTTCAAGGCTATCTCGCTCGAGGCTACAGACTACGCTGTGCGCGCGTGGCCTGGAGGTGTTGGAGACAAGAAGCTTGGTGCCAACTACGCACCTTGCATCGTCCCGCAGATGCAGGCTGCAAGCCGCGGATTCCACCAGAATCTGTGGCTGTTTGGCGAGGAAGAGTTCATCACCGAGGTCGGCACCATGAACCTGTTTGCCGCTATCAAGAACAAGGAGACTGGAAAGCCAGAATTGCTCACTGCGCCTCTCGACGGAACTATTCTTGAGGGAGTAACGCGAGACTCCATCCTCGAGCTTGCGCGGGAACGTCTGGTGCCCAAGGGCTGGACCGTGTCGGAGCGCAAGTTCACCATGAAGGAGGTGGCCGACGCTGCCAACGAGGGACGCATGATGGAGATCTTCGGTGCAGGCACTGCTGCCATTGTCGCTCCGGTGCGCAAGATCAGCTGGAAGGGACAGCTTGTTGACTGCGGGCTCGAAGACCACGTCGAAGCCGGCCCAATTGCACAGCAGATGAAGGACTGGATGGAGGCCATTCAGTACGGCGACGAGGACCACCCGTGGAGGTATGAGCTTCCCCGTCACCATGCAGATCATTCGCTAACATGACAACAGTTACAAGGTGATATAAGCAAGTAGTTGATATAAATGCGATGTGTTGAGCGTGCATGTTTGCGCGATAGACTGTATATACATGAGACCTGGCCGTAGCTTGAAAAAAGATATGTGGCCCCTGGCGCATTGACATTGGCGACGGTGTTGGCACAGTGACTTCGCGATGGTGGGGTAGAGGATGGGATGCAGAGCGTGCCTGACTACGCCCTCCTTAGATGACGTTCCTGCTAGTCTCTCTAGCTCCCAACCTCTCGTTACACCGCCGACGCTCCAACGCCTAAACACCCCGTCAATTGCCCGCCCAGAGCTGCGCCGCCGCTCGTCAATTCCACCACCACGCGCCCCGACGACACGCCCGCCAATTCTCACGATGCTGGCCGGCGCACTCTGCCGCTTGGCAGCCGACGCCCCCAGGGCCTCCCCACACGACATGCCGCAGCTCGCCCGCATCCTCGGCCGCGCCCTCCTCGCCCGCAATGCCGCCCAGCTCCCGCATGCGCGCGCCCTCTCACGCGCCTTTGCCTCTGCCCTCCAGAACCGCCGGTCGTATGCTACAACTACGCGCGCCACCAAGCCCACGGCGACGGTGAAGAAGGCGGTCAAAACAGCCGCCGCTAAGAAGCCTGCGCCCAAAAAGACGGCCACAACAGCAAAGAAGGCGGCTCCCAAGAAGAAGCCCGCAGCAAAGAAGGCGGCGCCCAAGAAGAAGGCAAAGAAGCCTGCCGCGAAGAAGCCCGCGCCCAAGAAGCGCGTCAAGAAGGTCTTGACGCCCGAAGAACAACAAAAGGTCAAGCTCCGAGAGCTACGCGCCAAGGCTCTCAAGGAACCCGTGAGCCGCAGGTCATTGTCTGCTCTCCATGTCTTCTTAGCTGAAAAGCTGGCTGGTGTTCCGGGCCAAAAGACTGGGCAACTTCCGGCTGCTACGGCCGAGTTCCAGAAGTTGACCCCCGCTGAGCTTGAGGTAAGCCCTGTCCGCCTCACAGTGCATCACACTATACTAACTGTCTGAAGCACTACAACCACCTCGCAAGCGAGAGGACTGTCGCTAGAAGAGCCGAGTACGACGCATGGCTCAAGGCCTACACTCCCGACCAGATCCGCATTGCGAACAACGCACGTGCCCAGTTACGGAGGATCTATACGAGTGAAAAGAAGAAGGCTCCTGCTCATACTGCCAAGCTTGTCGATGAGCGTCATGTGAACAAAGTGATACCCGCCTATGCCGCCTTTGTCAAAGAAAGGTTTGCCTCCGGAGACTTCAAGAACATTTCCCCTCTCGAGGCGATGAAACTCATCTCCCAGGAGTGGAAGTCTTTGGGCGCTGCTGAGAAGAAGGTATGCATAACAAATGCGACGTTGATACAGGCTCTAACATATCCATAGAAATACACAGACGCCTACACTGCTCAGAAGAACGCTGCGGCATCCGCATAATACGTCTAGCGGCAATCGCTTGTAGCGCCTGCTTCTCCATCACCTCTCTACTCAGAGCCGCATCGATTTCCTTTGTCAGTCATGATTTGGGCCTCCATGATACCGTGTATGTTCAGTCTGGATATTGGACCTCACCTGGTGTTCTGGTTCAAGGCGGTGGGTTCAAGGTTGGAAATGGTAAGATTCCTGTAACAGAGACATGTCCATGTAGTTTCTCAGAGTACTGCAATGCTTCTTCTGCGATGGTGGTTTATTCTAATGCAATCGCGAGTATTGAGAGTTGGTGTAGTTGCATAGGAAGTGACATTGCGCACCAATCATATAGCGTGCTTTCCTTATCTCTACCACCCCCAGCCAAGCCCAGCAATCATCCCATCCCACAACGTTTACCCCAGGCTTTCCGAGTAGATCTATTTCCGCGGCAGATAAGCGTGCGTACGGGATGTACCTGCCTGCGTCATTGGGCAAGCCACCTTGGAGCTTCGATATGTACCTCAGTTATCTGCATCATGCTGTCTTCTATTTACTCTCCTTGATACCTCATTCAAATACACAGCCATGGCTTCTGACGAAGAAAACGGACACGAACGTACTCCTCTCCTCCATCAAGCCCGACTATCCCATCTTCAACACGAACAAGATGAAGAAGCTTCCTCAATCCTCGCATCCACGGTAACGAAGGAAGAACAGCAATTAGCAGAAAGTCCAGTCGGAGAAAGACTGCCGTATAATGACTACACCACCATTGACTGGCTACACGATTTGGTACTAATACTTCTTGTCAACGAACCTACACATGGCTGAGTATACTGATATGCAAATTCAGGTCAAAGACTCCTACCGCTACCGCGCCCTCCACTCCCACCCTAGTCTGCGCTACAAACTCCTCACCCTCCTCGACGCCAGTTCAGGCTGGCTTGCTGTCGTGGTAATTGGTGCATTGACAGCATGTATCGCCTTCCTCGTTGACATCGCCGTCGTAACTGTCTCGGACTGGAAAATCGGGTATTGCTCTGGCCATTTCTTGCGGAACAGGGAGAATTGCTGTGTTGCTACTGAGAAGAGTCCGTCGCTGTTTTTGATGAAAGAGAAGGGCGAAGAATGTGCAGATTGGAAAGTTTGGAGTGAAGACTACAAGAGCAGTTTTGCAATCTACGTGGGCATGGCAGTGGCATTCGGAATTATAAGCTCGAGTTTGACCATGTTAACTCGGTCTACCCTCCCGTCGACCTCATCCTCCAACCCTACCACGAAGAACGCGAGCAACGGCCACACCACCTCCACCTCCTCTTCCCCGCCCTCAGACAACCCACCCACCACACCAACCGTCCAAGGCAAAACAATGTACCTAGCCTCCGGCTCCGGCATCCCCGAAATAAAAACCATCCTCTCCGGCTTCTCCATCCCCTCCTTCCTCTCCCTCCCCGTGCTAATCGTAAAATCCCTCGGCGCAATCTTCGCCGTATCCTCGTCCCTCTGCCTCGGAAAAGAAGGCCCCTTTGTCCACATCTCCACCTGCATCGGCCACCTCGTCGGGGGACTAATCCCTAAATACGCATCCAACGGCCGCAAGATGCGGGAGCTGCTCAGCGCGGCATGTTCGGCTGGTCTGTCGGTGGCGTTCGGCGCGCCGATCGGAGGCGTGCTGTTTAGTTATGAGGAGATTAGTACGTACTTTCCTAGAAAAGTGCTGTGGAGGGCTTTTCTATGTAGTCTTACTGCGGCGATGGTGCTCAAGGAACTCAATCCAACCGGCACGGGCAAATTGGTGCTTTTTGAATCGCGGTTTGGGGATGAGTACAACGCTATTCACTACTTCGTTTTCATCCTCTTGGGCGTAGCGGGTGGGGTTTTCGGAGGCCTTTTTTGCAAGTTCAATTTCCTGTGGTCCAAGTGGTTTAGGGCTTTTGGTGTGATTAAGAGATATCCAGTGTTGGAGGTTGCGTTGGTGGTGCTTGCGACGGCGTTGATTCAGTATCCTGATCCGTTGACGCGCGAGCCGGGGGATGTTATTATTAAGAATTTGTTGGTGGATTGTGGGGAGGATACGTCGAGCGCGTCTTGGGTTTGTCGGAATGAGAGGGTTGCTAGGGAAAGGGGGACGACGAATTGGGAGTATGTGGGTTGGTTGACGTATGGGACGTTGGCGAAACTTGTTCTTACTACTATTACGTTTGGGATCAAGGTCCCGTCTGGGGTTATCATTCCAGCGCTGGATGCGGGTGCTTTCTTTGGGAGGCTGGTGGGTCAGGCTATCGGCTCGATCAGTCCGGGTATCTTCGCCATGGTGGGTGCTGCTGCGTTTCTGGCGGGTGTGTCTCGGATGACTATTTCCCTCGCTGTCATTGTAAGTCCTGTTCCTTCTCTTTGTCTTGTATGCATGCCTCTAGCTAACGCTCTGTGTAGATGTTCGAACTCACAGGCCAACTCTCTTACACCGTTCCCTCTATGCTCGCCATCCTAACCGCCAAATGGGTCGCCGACGCCATCTCCTCAGAAGGCGTCTACGACCTCGCTCAATCCCTACTCTCTCACCCTTTCCTCGACCCAGACACCGCTCTCTCCATCGTCCGCCGCCACAAAGCCTGCGTCGAGGTCCTCATCCCCCCTCAGCGCACCATGGCTGACATTACCGTTCATGTACCTACAAGCAATAAAGTAGCTTTGACTCTACTGAAAGAGAAACTCGATGCGTTGAGAGAACGAGGTCTCATGGACGCGGGTCTTGTACTCGTGCAGAAGAATCATGGTGGTATTGAAGTGCTGCAGGGCTATATATCGCAGTCGGAGCTTGAATTTGGATTGACGAAACTCGTTCCTGGTGTGCTTATATCGACGCAGGAAGACGATGTCCAGGTCAGGTTGTTAGGCCAGGAGATTGATGAGCCGACGAGTCCCATGAGCTTGGAGATGGATTTGACGCCATTTGTGGATCGGACACCATTGAGCATCTGCGCGAAAGCGCCTCTGGAATATGCTGTCGAGATGTTCTCCAAGCTGGGCTTGAGATATCTTATGGTGACCAAAGAGGGCACAGGACAACTGGTGGGTGTGATTATCAAGAAGAGGCTCGTAGGTTACCTAGAACACCTGAGAGAACATGGCGAAGGAGATTAGTAGGTCGTAATGAGTACACACGATACACTGTTTAGTGGACAATATCTGATTATAGCATCTTTTCGCTAACAAGAAGCTGAGGCGCCTGCCATGTCTGTCTAGTCACTTTCGCAACATGTCTGATCACAGCCAGGTCGCTCAAAGTACGAATCGAATTACAACGCTCGTGTCCACACGTGAAATATTCCAACAACCAAGCCCAGCGGGACGTCAGCCATGACCAGCTTACTCCTCAGCCTCGAGAGGAGCCTCCTCGTCGTACTCGTCCTCACCCTCGGAGACGGAAGCCTCCTGGTATTGCTGGTACTCGGAGACCAAGTCGTTCATGTTGGACTCAGCCTCAGTGAACTCCATCTCGTCCATACCCTCACCAGTGTACCAATGCAAGAAAGCCTTGCGCCTGAACATGGCAGTGAACTGGTCACCGACACGCTTGAACAGCTCCTGGATGGAGGTCGAGTTACCGACGAAGGTGGAGGACATCTTGAGGCCGCGGGGAGGGATGGAGCAGAGGGCGGTCTGGACGTTGTTGGGGATCCACTCAACGAAGTAGGAGGAGTTCTTGTTCTGGACGTTGCGCATCTGGTCCTCGACCTCCTTCATGGAGACCTTACCACGGAAGTAGGCGGAGCAGGTCAGGTAGCGACCGTTGCGGAAGTCAGACGCAGCCATCATGTTCTTGGGGTCGAACATCTGCTGGGTGAGCTCGGGAACGGTGACGGCGCGGAAGGAGTGGGCGCCGCGGCTGGTGAGGGGAGCGAATCCGACCATGAAGAAGTGGAGACGGGGGAAGGGAACCATGTTGACGGCCAACTTCCTCAGGTCAGAGTTGAGCTGACCAGGGAAACGCAGGCAGGTGGTGACACCCGACATGACGGCGGAGACGAGGTGGTTCAGGTCGCCGTATGAGGGGTTGTTCAGCTTGAGGGTGCGCATGCAGATGTCGTAGAGAGCCTCGTTGTCAATGCAGAAGGTCTCGTCGGAGTTCTCGACCAGCTGGTGGATGGAGAGTGTGGCGTTGTAGGGCTCGACAACGGTGTCGGAGACCTTGGGGGAGGGCACGACGGAGTAGGTGGCCATCATGCGGTCGGGGAACTCCTCACGGATCTTGGAGATGAGGAGCGTGCCCATACCGGCACCAGTACCACCTCCGAGGGAGTGGGTGATCTGGAAACCCTGGAGGCAGTCGCAGCCCTCGGCCTCGCGGCGCACGACGTCGAGGACCTGGTCGACGAGCTCGGCACCCTCGGTGTAGTGACCCTTTGCCCAGTTGTTACCAGCACCAGACTGGCCGAAGACGAAGTTGTCGGGGCGGAACAGCTGGCCGAAGGGGCCGGCGCGGACGGCGTCCATGGTACCGGGCTCGAGGTCAACGAGGACAGCACGGGGCACGAACTTGTTGTTGGACGCCTGCTGTAGATCAGTATTGGTCTTTTATCTGCCAAAAGCGTAATCGGGGGACGCACTTCGTTGAAGTAGACATTCATGCGCTCGAGCTGCAGGTCCGAGGTGCCATTGTAGACACCGGAGCCGTCGAGGCCATGCTCGCCGGAGATGGTCTGCCAGAAGGCGGCACCGATTTGGTTACCCTAGAGACTGTTAGCTGTCGTCTGTACAGAGGAGCGACATGTAGACTTACGCATTGACCGGTCTGAAGGTGAACCTGTGGCAGAGAAACGTCGTTAGCTGTTGTTCTTTGTTGTCCCTGAGTCTCGGCGCGGGGCAGCGACGCGCCACGACTAGGCGGCAGTGCGGGCGATACGTACAATCTCACGCATGTTGGCGGTTGGGGGCGAGGAATATGGAAGTTGGAGAGGTGAAGATGCGAGGAGCTGGGTTATGGCTGGTCGCTGGCGGTGGTGCTGGTGTGGAGAGCAGGAGGAGCAGAAGCGGTGAGTGCGTTAAAGATCTCTGTGGGTCGTCTGCACGGGCCGTCGGCGCTAGAGCTATTTACTAACAACGCGCCAAAGCTGGTGCCTGCCGGCTGAAGGGGCTAGTCATGAACATGTACAGCTGCACTAGCAAGGCACAAGTCGCTGCTGTCGAATGGCTTCGTCGCTCTGCAGTATCTTGTATTACTGGCTGGTCCCATGTCGTGATAGACGTGCTACTGGAGGCGGTTGCGGACTTGTTGTTCCCATCCCATCCCCTATCAAATTCGCCTATCCGTATCGTCGTTCGCAGCGCGGAAACCGCACAACGCTGATCTTGCAGAGCACATGCATAAATCCTCCCTGACACGCGAACCTAATCCTGCCCAAGACTCCACGTCGTCACCGCCTATAGCTCCTTCTTCGTTGAGCCATTTGCATGACCACCTGCCTGTCGCTTGACCACCTGCGGCATCGTCCAGAAGTTGGGCCAGTAGAGCTCATACTCGTCCTGCCTGTAGTTGAGGCAGTGTCGCAGCCATACGCCCCATACAATGTAGTAGTAAGCTCCAGTTCCCGTCATAAGATGCCTGGTATTGTGAGCTTTCGTCTTCCTAAGATGACTGCAATACTCACCACCAGCCATGACCCTCGAGCACGAAACCCCAGGGCATACCGATCTCCCTCCGCCACTGGATTAACTGCGAGCAATGCACGTTGTCGAGGTGCCAGACAGCGAATCCACCCAGGAAGATGCTGAGGCCGAATGCAATCATTTGCCACATTTTACTGAGAATTTCTTGGTCGCGTATGTCTTCTCTCTCTTGGACCGCCTTCACACCTCCATGCGGCCGCGGGTTCGCTGCTTCCCTTTCCTTGGACTTGAAGCGCGGGCGGATGTTCACTTCCATTACATACATGGCGCGAAACAGGACAATCGCTGTGAGGATCGCATAGGCGTTCTGATGGAAGGTGGGGTCCTGGAGGAAGTGGTAATAGAGCGTAATGAAGGCAGCAAGGGACACAAGTCCGATTGCGAGAACCGTAGAGTACAGCCTTGACTTGCCATAAGAGAACGTCGCAAAGTTCATCAAGCAAGTCGTGTAGATCATCGAAAGCTCGTCTACCAACTGCATAGGATCTAACACGAATCAGATATTGCATGTGAACGATTGATTCAGCAGCGAACATACATTTCAATGTCGCGTGGAAGAGAAAGCTCCCAGTTCCAACCAGTAGATAGCCAATGAATGCCACGAGGAACACTGTATCGTGTCCATTCTTCAAGCAATTGCGTATGCCTTTTGCAGCGAGGTACATGAACAGCAGATTCGTGAGCGTGTTGATAATCTCCGCAGAGTACTGCGTGACTACATAATTCTTCAAACGGTTAGCACGCGCATCTTCAACGCAATGACCCTCTCAACTAACCTCTTCACACCAATCGAGAGTAGAGGTGACCGGGGAGAAGAACCCATCCTGTTCAGGCGGGTACGGTATCGACGGTAGACGGGAAAAGAACGCAGCCATCTTCACTCTACGAAAATCCCGAAAAGAGAAAAAGAAAGAAGTGAGAGGTTGAGGAAAGAGAAACTGCAGGTGTTTGACCTCGCTATCAAGCTTGTATCTAGCACCGGCTTTTGCGGAAGGAAAGACTGGAGAGCGACAATCCGCGACACGAGAGGCCCATGCTCCAGCGATAGGCTGCCAGACTACCACGCCACACGTGGGCAAACAGTAAGGATTACTGCGCAAAAGGAATCACCCACAGTACACATTCCTACCGCCGACGTATACCTCTCGCACACGTCGGAAAGCTTGGCTCCCGAGGCTGCAAGCTCGCGGTGCAGTTTTCGGTGGTGAATCCAAACAGCCAATCACGTCCGCCCAGGGTCTCTCGCAACTGCCGAACCGAGAAAGCTTGAGAAGCAGCAACCAGGCCAGCACTCTCACGAGACCTACGAGCCAATCGTCAACTTTACCAATTGTCCGCCCACCATGTCCATGTCAAACGAGGCCTTGCAGAAGGTGCGTCAATCATTGCGATGTGATGGATAAAGAAAAGAGCGGGGATCTAACGCGGGAAACACCCAGGTCCTACAAGAAATCAGCCAAAAGAAGGCCTTCGCCGAACAACAACTCGTCATTGTCAAACAGCAAAAAGCCGCCCGGACGCGAGAGGGGCGTATGCTGCAACTCACTTCCTCGGAAGTCTCGTCGTTGCCTGCGGAGACAAAAGTGTATGAGGGTGTCGGCAAGATGTAAGTTGCGTCTCTCGATATTCGCCCCTCGCGACTGCGGGGGAGGAAGTGGGATGAGATGAGATGCAGAGACTGATCGCTATGAACAGGTTCGTCTGCACGCCTATCCCGGATGTGCAGAAGAGGCTTCAGGAGGAGAGCGAGGCGTTGAACAAGGAGATGAGCAATCTGGATAAGAAGGAGGATTACCTTGAGAAGACGTATACGAACAGCAAGAACAGCCTTGAGCAGGTGCTGAAGGGCGCGGCTTGAGTGTGCTGTCGGTATTCCGTCATGGTCATGAGATCAATTCAGAAAATCGGAACGAGGGTTAGGAAGACTAGAAAGAGTCTACCCAGATGTGTGCTCTTGCCACCGAGTGGTGAAAAGACAATGGTGAACACCAGCTTCTACTCTACGGATGATAGCAGAAAGTTGGTTGTAGTACAGCCACAGATTCAACACGATATTGATAACACACGACCCACTAGAATTCTTGACGACCAGATACTCCACGAGATGATCAATGATAGTCGCTCGAGTATGAAGTAAAGTGTTTATTTCGCTTTTACTATGCCTCTAACTCTCACCCTACCGCATCCTAACAAGCATCGCCTCAACACCCTCCAAGCACTTCCTCACCTCCTCTGCCGCCCTCGCTACATACGCGCCATCCACAACCCTATGATCAGCACTCCAGCTGAACACACACTCCTCCCTCTTGATCAGCTCATCGTTCTCCCCAAACGCCGGCACCACTCTCGCTTTACCGATACCCAAAATACCAACTTGAGGTCCAACGATGACAGGTGCCACAGCACCGCCGCCTATGCTGCCAATGTTGCTGACTGTGAAGGTTGCACCAGTGAGATCGGCGGATGAGAGCTTGCCAGCGCGTGCTAGCGAGCTGAGGCGTTGGATCTCTTGAGCTAGCGAGGCGATGCTGTGGTTTTGTACGTTCTTGATGACAGGGACGAGGAGGCCCGCCGGTGAATCTACTGCTACGCCAATGTTGTGGCTTCCCTTTAGTATGATCTGTGGCTTGTTCGGGTTCGTCGTAGTGTCGAGATGTGAGTTGAGTAGCGGGAATTGCTGGAGCGTGAGCGATACGGCCTTGATGATAATTGGCAGCGGCGTTATCCGTTCTGGCTTTTCGCGACCTGTGTTGTACTTTTCGCGGAGCGAAGTGAGGGAGCTGAAGTCTACAGCGTCGGTGTATAGGAAGTGGGGGATGGACAAAGATTTGGTCATCTGCTTGAACATGCCAGACTGAACTGGGGTCAATTGCTTGACTTGGTCCTCCACTTGTTGTGTGGTCATAGGGGCCGGGGTCGAAGTTGGCGATGGTGTTGTAGTGGTTTGCTTCATCGATTCGACGTGCCGTTGTACGTCGTCCTTGAGTACGCGACCCTCCCGTCCTGTGCCTTCTATATCCTCGATCCTGAGCTTGTGCTCCTTGACCATATGTCGCACAGCTGGTGTGGCAAGCGATGCATGCTTTCCTGGCTGTCTTTGTGTTGTAGACGGTTCGGATGGTAGACTCGTGCTTTGATCTGAGCCAGGCACGTCTTCAGTCGCAGCCTTTGTGTCATTCCTCCCAAGCTCAATCCCCTGTTCTTGTGGCTCTACAGAGCTTTGTGCTTTTTGTTCTTGGCTGCCGCCGCCTCCGGTGAGTAAGACCTCGTCGTCTTGTTTGCCTGATCCTCCGTTGAGCAGGGCTTCGTCGGCAGGAGAGATGTCGCTTTGAATGTCAATGTCTACTAGAGGCTTCTGGAATCAGCTCATATTCGGTAGTACGTTCCGGATTTCAAGCTTACCTTTCCAACCTTCGCCATATCATCCGCCTCGTAGTACAACTTCTTGATGATGCCATCGAATCGCGAGGTGATCTGCCGGAGATTAGTCGTCGCCCTGCCTGTATCCTAGACGGTATGTACCTCGACAGATGCTTTATCCGACTGCACTTCGCAAATAGGGTCGAATTGCTCGACGCGCGCGCCGGGCTTCACGAACCATTGGATAACCTGGCATTCGGTAATACCTGGGCACAGCATGATTAGCCGCAGCCACCAGCATCTCTGACTCGCCTACTTACCTTCTCCAATATCCGCCAAAAGGTAAGGCTTGACGATCAATAGCCGTTTTGTGCCCCGGAACCCTCTTCTCTGCTCGTGTATGCGAATGTTTGTATTCCTGGGTGTAGTAATTGACGCGCGGTGGGCGAGGTTTGGGCGCGAAAACACGCGGGACGCTTCTCTGCTGGCGAATGACTTCATGGTGGGCGTGATTTGTGTGCAGATTCTTTCTGTGAAAGAAACATCTTCATGTACTGCCGCCGAGGTTTGGTATTGTGAACGACCAAAGCCGACAGTTACCGCAGCCGATGACACAAGTGGAAGCTGGGGTAAGCCACTAGCGAGTTTGGGGTATAGCGTTTCGCGGGTTAAGGAAACAGGGGTCCGTGTGCACAATCTCGTGGGTACAACGGCACGTAGCCTCACATGTTGGAACGACTGGTATTTTGCAGGTGTATGAGATGAGAAGGTTTCTATTATGAAGTATCGTCTTTGGGGCCACGCGACTCTTTAACGAGGAGGCACTAAATGCACACCATGATGAGAAGACTCTTCCAGCAGCCATTAACTCTCTGAGCATCACGAGGTGTGAGCTTGTACAGAATGATAACGACCTCCATCTAAGCTGTCCCTCACTAAAAATACAGGAGCTTCAGTGTACAGCTACGGTTACAACTGCATCGACATCAGATCACCAATGCACGTACAAGTATACATGCTACACCGCTGGCCCCCTCCCGATCCACAGCCTAAAACTACGGAAAGGACCTCTCCTATTGTCTGTGTTGTTGTACTGGAATCCAGGACCTAATGTCAACTGATTGGTGTTGAAATACAGCCACCCATCCAAAATAGCCATTGAATCGGCATGTTGAATCATCGCATTCCTCACCAACGTCTTGACTACGTAGTCGTCCGGTGGTATGAGACCAGATCCTCCAGGTGAGTTGCCGTTCACTGTCATGTTGGTTTCGGATTCCAGGGTGTCGACGTAGTATATCGCGTTCTGTTCACTCGCTGCGATGTATACTCGGCCGCGATCGTCAGCGGTAAAGCCAGCTTGCTCGGAACCGCATTGGCCTGGATTCTGTACGGCGGCAAGGACTTCAGTGTCTGTCAAACTTTGGTCGACAAGAATCTCCTGAGAGATGTAATAAAAGCGACGGGAGGCTAGAACGCCCCAGTAGAAGTTGCCGGATGCTATGATACCGTCAGTAACATAAGCACACATCAGCTCAATTTCACGTACCCAAGGCGATGCCATCTGCGGCAGTGGTGAGATGACCTTTTTGTGTGCCATTCCAGGTGTAGATGAGTTCGCCGCCATATGAACCGACGTACTTCTCGTCTGCTCGAACAACACTCGTATTGAACAGTCTGCGTACCGCATTGCCGTTCTCGAGATCCACCGCTAGTAACGAGCTATTTTTGCTAGCATCAGTGATGAAAGCATATCCTTCTCGTCCACCCAAAGTCGTGTTGACACGCATGTCATTCATATTCATCCGATGCGACAATAGATCCTGGGGTATCACATAGGTCTGAAGATGCTCTGCCGTCGTCTCATTGAAGCTCATGAGCTTTGCACCTCCAAACATCGTATTGGTGTCTGGGCTGGCGTTGGCTGGAATTCCGCTGTCAACCACCCACAGCCTTCCCCGGTCGTCGAGAACAATGTTCTGAACGTTGATGAAGCAGGTTGCCGGATCCTGACCCGCAGTGCAATTCTGGATAGCTGCGTTTGGCCATGGTTTTTCGTCGTTGTACGATGTGCAAACCACCACGTTGCTCGGTGTCTGGCCCGAGTTGCGAGGGTATGTTAGGTAGAGGTTGTGCGCGGAATCGACGGCTAGACCGGTGGAGGGCTTTTGGGAGTCGTGGATAGGTTGTAAAGGAGGGCCAACGAGTGTGAAGTCTTGGGGATAGGCACCAATGGTATATCCGGGAGCGAAGGGATGATAGTCTCCTGATGATGTCTCAAAATAGTCTGATGCCAGTGAGATGGGAGCAAATCCCAACGCCAGTGCTATGAATCTCATCTGGACGGTACAACAACGGCCTCGGGACGTCTCGGAGGCTGCAGGGTTTCTGAGGCTATATTGAAAAAGTTGTAGCGCGCTGTTGTTCTCACAACTATATCAGTCGAAAGTGGAGTGTTACGCCCAGAGATAAAAGAAGTCGAGGAGCTTCACTCAAATAACGTTTCGAGGTCCCATGGTTCCTTCCCGCGTCCGTCTGTTGAGGGGCCCGAGGGAAACCATGACCTCCGCGTTAGCTACGTATCTATTGGTTACCAGCCGCATGGGGACATGGTAAAGTCCAGGTAATCCATGAGGATAAAGAGGGGTACCTAGTTTTCCGGAGATACAGTAGGCTGTATATCGCAATACATTGATTAATGATAGGCATATACACGTGTAAGCATTGCGCGATATTATGAACGCGTGCCATCGGCTACCCATCTCGTACGATGCAGGCGATTAGTCTTCAAACCCAGCAGAATAACATGGGAAAGCTTAAAACAACACTTGGGGATGAAATGACATCCGGATCGTCCTAAAACTAGTCGCGGGCTGATCGATCGAGATGATGGTGCGGGAATGACGTTTTGGCGCGGAAGGAGAGGGCGCACGACCCTTCGTGATTCGCGACTGCCGAAACGCGTCTGCTAAGGAAGGCACCGCCAGCACTCACAACAAACGACACGCATAGCCATGCGTAGTTCCGATGTCCACCTACGCATTGCAAACGAAGACAATGCTACATTCAGACTCTGAGACGCCCACGCAGTTGTTACGACTAGCCGCCAAACGCGACGAATCCAAGGCCCCATTGCCCTCAAAGCAGACGAGAGACTCTCTCTGCGGTCTCGGAGCCTTCACCAAGCCGTTCACGATCAGAGAGCACTCTGGCTCACCGTACAAAAACAAGCCCACCACCTTCAGACCCGTACGAGTCATTGGGCGTTCCCAGCTGCCTCTGACCTTCCTCGACATTTCCGCCGACGAGAACTTCGCCCCGAACAGCCTCTTCGCGGCACATATCGATATACTGGAGGATGGAGAATGTGAAAGCCAAGACTATGCTGGCCCCAAGATACTCGTCGCACGCTTCGAGGCAAAGAATCTACTATACGCCATAGAGCGAGTGAAGCCACGCGTCTATAGTATCTGCAAGCTTGCGGGCTGGCTCAAAGAGAAGGATGTCACAGACTTGTGGGACCCCAGAAATTTCCAGAAGCTGCAAACACGCCCAGGACCAGAGACGAATGCGGCCGTACAAGGAGAATGGTGGCAACAGGCCGCTGTAGAGACACACACTGTGGACCTACCACCCAGGCGAGCGCGGATGACGATGATGCGACCTAAGTTACAACCAGAGATAAAGAAAGAGCATGCACACCAACCGGACCTGGCTTTAGAAGCCCCGAGGAGCGAATACCTGGATACGACTTCTACGGAATTCCCTCTAGAAGCTATGCCGGACGCGCCATCGCCACAAGAGCAACTTGCCTTGCTCGTCCAACAATACTTGGATGCAATTTACATGTCCAAAACCTCACTGGCATACCTAGCGAAGGGCCCAATCACTCGAATCCGGAACACATTTACTTCAGCTGAAGAAGGAGCGCCGCCTACACATGAACTTGTCACATTCTTAAGAACTATGCTGCTGAGTCCAAAGGCCAGCGAGAAGAAGTACCACGAAAAACTACCATCCTTGATTAAAGAGATGCCACCCGGAAGCTACTCGGATGATGAGCACGCCCCGAGTGTCAGCAAGCCGAAGAAGTCGAAGAAAAAGATGAAACTCAGTCGGGAGGGTGTATACCCACAAGAGGAGGCATTCGTCAGGAAGTGGTGGCAGTCGGAATTGCCGAGTGGCGACAGTACGGCTCCAGAGACTCTAGACCAGCGTATCAAGAGGCGCATTGGAGATTTGCGGGTTCGCGAGACGCTTGCGCAACTGATTCTCATGCTCGAAATCGTTGCACTAGAGACGCTCTCCACACAGAAACCACCAGAGCAACAAGCTACTGCAGACGGAAGTCAAGCCCAGACCGAGCAGCCGATGCCGAAGAAGCGCAAGAACAAACTTGATGACATCAACCTACAACTCGATCTGCTGCTGGATAAGCTTTGCATCTGGCATGCTACGGAAGAACTAGGTATACTAGATTTTGATGAAAAGCCGTCACGTCAACACGACGGACCCGATGGATCTGGACGAAACAATTCGAACGATCGCTTGCACAGCTTCTGCGTCGAAGTCATTATCCCCTTCTACATCAACCGATTACCAGAGCAGGCGCTCATGGTGAATAAGAAGCTGGGTGGGCCCACGCATAGCTTACCGACAAAACGCAAAGCTGTCAGGCCACCACTCACCTCACGCAAATCCGGCAGTTCGAAGGAACCCGAAGCAAAGAAGTCACGACGATCGCTGGCCCGGGTCGCTACCGACAACACGGGACGGACGACTGAGCGAATAACACCGTCCCTGAGCCGATCTGCCACTGATTCCGCGCTGTTAGATGGCATCAAACGAGAAGGCAGCGAGGTACCTCTCTCAGCCATACCTTTCCGACGCAGTCCATCTAAGAGCGCTCGGCAATCGATGTCCCAGATCCGACATCTGCAGGGTCGTCAAATTGATCTCGCGGAGCCTTCGGCTGCTGCATCAGCTAAGATAAAGCACAAGCAACGTGTGGAGGAAGATCTTCAAGAGGCTATTTTAGCTTTGAAGAAGCCCAACCGTGGACTAGCTGCTGGTGGCTACATCGCCGACATCGAGCAACGTGGTCTCGGTTTGCCCAAACAGTCGAGAAAGCCAACAGTCACTGTGAGGAAGACCATCAGAGACGTTCAGGTGTCAGCGACACCCCGGGCTGGGCGGAGGACGAAGACTTTGGTTGAGCAGACGCCAACCCACCACCACTACGATCCGTTCGTTAGACCTCCCGGAGCGGAAGCGCCCCCCTCGAGCGAGTTCTGCGTGCCGTCCTCTGGAGTCCGCCCACCAGCTACAATGGTGCCGGCAACGGGCCACCGCCACTCGACGGCTCGAAGTCTAGCGCAGTCCGGTATTGCCGAGACACCGTCCAAGGCGCCAAACAGCCTACCATTCTCTACAGACTCGGTTAGGAGGAAGATCTTTGCAACCCCATTGAAGGCGGCGGCGTCTTCTTCTGACGGCAGAGG